AAACGCCGTATGAGCATTCAGGCGTTGCCAAGTTTAGTTCGATAAACCCCGACTCTACTGGAAAAATTGTGAATATTTTTCCCCAAAAATTTCAGACTATTTTTTACGCCATTTAATCTAAAATATCTGAAAATTTCAAGGAAAAAGGTTCGAGAATGCCGTCAAAAATATACGTTTTAGAAAGGGAAATTTGGCAACTCTCGAATGTTCATACGGCGTTCTTCCTTAGCACGGTAGTGTTGAGCCCAGGAAAAGAGAAAGATCGTTATCGCGGCATGGAGTCCTAGCCAGTAGTGACGCTCTTTGCAAAGAAAGTAAATAAGATCAGAGGTGCATGTATGTGTTACGTTTTGCAATAAGGAACCACTATTTCGGGCCCATTTTAGAAACATCACACATCCCATCGTTTTCCCTATGCAGATATGTGCTTTCATTGGCGAGCCAGAGATAGTGGTTCCTTAGTGCTGAATGTAATCCATATCAACCGACAAAATTTAAAGGGCCTGCAAACTTTTGATAGAGCAAAAAGAAGAGTAATTTCTTCTAAAAATTATTGCAAAATCAGGATGAGCGCATCGAGAAAGTCTGCAATAGACCGTATTCGATAACGGTTCGATGTATCGTGTGGATCAAAACAATAGAACATAACCTCAAACCAAAACTGTAAGGATTTAAGTTGGAAAAGCTGAAAATGAGAAATTTCCTGACATTTTCACTTTGCATTGGCATTTGGTACTCAAAAGAATAAAAAACTGTCACAAAAGACCCGTTCTCTCAGATTTCTGATCTACTTTTGAGGCTATGCTTATGTTTTGAACCAATCGATATCGGTACAATCTCACCCGTTTGATGTATCGAATACGATCTATACGCTCCTAACTTCACAATCTTCGTAAAAAATATGCGTTTTTTTAAGCTTCCTTCTTCAAAAACGACTACGGCACAGACAAAGATTTCGTAAGAAGAGTGGTTCTATCCGATCTTCGCGTACGAGGATGCTACACTATATTCATCATGGCAGACGCTTCCGGGCACAAATCGTGAGGAAGAGACCATGATCTTTCAGTGGCGTGGCGTGCTTTGCGATATATCGATTGATACGCCACTCAAACCTATGAAAAAAGATCGATTATCAGGGTGTCCGCAGCGAACACCTTAGTAATCGATTCTTTACCATAGCTTCAAATGGCGGGATATCGATAATCGATCATTTACGCCACGCCACTGTGATCTTTATCGGCGCCAGGAAAATGTAAATATATTCGCACACGCTGGGTGATGGAATCCCGTCTCATCACGCGTGTTTTGGCGGGTTGGCGGAGACCGAGTTGAGTATTGCTTAAAATCCTATAGTGCGCAAGGGTTGGATGGCACGACTCTTTTTCACGAAATGTTCACCCGTGCCGTAGTATAGTTTTTGAAGCAGGAACAGGGTTGCCACAGCCCAGGAAAACCCGGATATGTCACGGAATTTTAAAGAGTCAGGGAAAATCTGGAAATGTCCGGAAAAATATTTCAGGGATAAAGCGTCAAATCACCTTCATTTGCCTTCTCCAGTGGATTTGGCGTTTCGAACAGCAAATTTTGCCTGACGAGTATAGCTGACTATGTGTTTTTAAATATCTGGCATTTGTTCAATCGTCACGAAATTTCACCAAAACGCAGTGGAAAAAAACGCATTGGATCTAGAGTCCAGACTCTTGAAAACATTGACAAGAAAAAATACTCTTGATTCAATCGGATTTTTGCTTGAATCAAAACGAAATCCGCTTAAATTAAGAGGCTTGGTTCTTGATTTAAGCTAGATTCTGATTGAATCAAGAGTACTTTTTCTTGTCGCTGGAGTCTGGACTCTAGATCCAATGTGTTTTTTTTTCCAGTGCGTGTCGGGGAAATGTCAGGGATTTTAATTTTCCAAATTCTGTGGCAACCCTGCACGCCTGCAGGCAACTTAAAAAAGCGCATATTTCTTACGCAGTTGGGATTGCATTACTGATATGGTCGTGAAAATGGCAAAGATTCCGCCGTATGACGTCAGCGATGCCAAGCTTGCATCTTGCGGTTAAAAATTATTATCTAACGGGAAATTTAGGCGAAAACAGAAGGCCAGCGCGAATCATCTTCGCTCCAGTTGGAGCGATTTTTTTCCTCGTCAGCGACCAACCAACCGAGCTATGTCGAAAAAAACGCGCGATTTCGCACTGAGTCAGAGACGGACAATATTGACGAAATGCAAATGCAGAGATGAGGCTAAGCGTCGCCACTCGACACGCAGTGATTCGGCACGCATTAATATTGCTCGCGGGAAATACCGCCGGAGTCATTAAACTTGCCTGCCAGGAGGAGGAAGAAGAATGCAACGAAACACACCTTTCGCTAATCAAGGCAAGCTACATTGCAACGCCACAGTAAGACAGTAATTAAGATACTCTACGTCGTCCACAGGGCGTCCGTAAAGGCGCTCTTCGTCGTGCCTGATCTCCGCATGCATTTTCGGGGGGGGGGGGGTGCAGTGTACACCTCAATATAACTTTTAGCTGGTTTACAAAGCCGGAAAACCACATGAACGCTCGAGAAAACGCACCCCTGCAGATGAGCAGAACTGCATTTAATTTCATAAAATGATATTTCATCAAATTTTGTGACACGTTTTCAACACTGGAAAAAAAATTCCAACCGTGGAAGTCGTACTTATGGGCTATATAGACATACCGTCCCCGTTCCGGACTCAGAGGCCGAAAATTCCGGGCGTAACACCGGGAGCAATCGAAGCTACGGCTCCAGCACCCGGAACTCTCGGCCTACGAGCCCGGAAAGGACAGTACGTCTATAACCCGTAACTTTTTTTCTCAGTGAATAGATGTAGGAAGTCGAAACTCCTGAGAACCAGAAAATCTCAATTTTGACAAATAATTATCACGACTCGAACTTCAAAAGTTGTTTGTCGAATTTTTTCCTGCTTTCCTGTCTTGTCGTGGCCATGAATGCAGAAATGAAGACTGTCAGTATGCATTTAAAGTCGCGAAATTTTTGGCAGAATGCCCTAAGATAAAAAAAATGAAAGTGCAACTGATGAAGTACTCGGACGAGAAAAAATTGCAGAATTTTATTTTTCCTAGGTGGGAAACTTAGGAAACAAATTCCGAGGAAAAAAATAGCTATCAGCGAGGAGGCAACGTTTCCCGAATTGCTCCACTATAATTTCTCAGCCAAAGTTGCATAGTTGTAACCGCGTTGAAAGAAAGCCAAGTTTGTCCGCCAGCGCAGCGGAGCATAGGTAATTCCGCAAATTGTGAAAAGCTACCATCAATCTGAGAATCCACTTAGATCATCATAGATCTAACTTTATATGAACTTTTGAAAAAGTTCAAAAGCTTTTGTAGGGAAATTTTTTTGTTTTCAAGGCTGAACTTGTATTATTTATCTGAGAACTAACTAAGTATTGTCACCAAAATGAGCAAAAAAGTCAGTTTCTTTTCCCTTCAGGCAGTTAAATGTGAATATGCAGCTCTAACTGTCCCGCCTACCTCTTAGTATCTCCTCTGCGACCTTTCAAAATATCTGCTTTTCTTTTATTTTCGTCGAAGAAAAAATATATTTACTGCTGTGCATCGCAGAATATTCCTAAAATCAGGGAGAACGAAGCCAAGAAAATTGCCAACGAAGGAGGTTGATTGTATTTTATTTTGAAAAATAAAGTAAGGCTAAAGTTTCCAAAGTGAAAACCCAGACTAACGGTTTTTTTTTAAAAAAATCATCGAAATAAACGTGCATAGGAAGCGATACAAGCACGGCTTAAGTCAGAGAGGTTTCTCAGTCAGCCGGAAGTGGAGTCATAAAAAATCAAAGCATTAAAGTGAAAAGTTATATAGTTGATCTTTATCAAGAGCAGAAGTAATTAATATTTATTTTAAGTATTTTATTTGTGAACAGATGGATTCGTCACTTTTATGACGCAATTAATTTAATATTCCTCGGAGGAAATTAGTTTTTTTTTGCACTGTTGCAATATTTTTCCTTCGGAAATGCCAGGGAATTATTTTTTCCGTCCGTCTGGGACTTTTAAAGTTTTGCCCCAGTTTTGGCCATTTTCGTCAGAGAAATCAGGGAAATGTCAGGGATTTTTTTTCTTTTCTTTTTTTTGAAAATTGCTTGACACCGTGTATTTATACTCTAAAACTTTGTGTGCCTATCTACTCCGTTTGTTATTATTTTTTCCGTCTGCCAAGGAATTTTAATTTCCCCCGATTTTTTGGCCGTTTTGTCAGGGAAATTAGGGATTTGTCGGGGATTGTTTTTTCGTTATTTGTTTCTTCGTTATTTGTTTTTTACTTGCCAGACACTTCGTACTCATACTCTAAAACCATAGAGTACAAGTGCATAGAGTCGTAATGCAAGTGGGAGAGCTGGCGCCACCTCTAAGCATTTTCCAGGTCCCGAATTCCGAGATTCCTGTGCGGCGCCGAGTCCCTTTTTCGATACATAATCGATTGTTTGCGACACATGGGGACCCGGCCATATTCCACACCGCCATTTTGGATCGAATATGTATCGAAAAAGTGACCCTTCACACCCGGCTCGGAACTCGTCGAGCAGAACATGGCGCCAGCTCTCCTACTTGCATTACGACTCTACATATCGACGGTGAAACTACCAAACCACGTATCTCGGTTTGCGACGTCGCAGACTTCCTGTCATACTTTATTTTTTAAATGAAAAACTACTTAACGTCCAGTCTTGAAAATTTCTGTGATTTTTCCTCTTCGCGCGGAGAAAATTCTGTGAAAATTTCAAGGAATGATATTGATTTGGTCTACTTCAAAAAAATAAAATGTGAGCGTAGATTTTTAAACACCGCAAACGAGATACGTGGTTTGGTAGTTTCACCGTCGATATGTACTCTATGTCTAAAACTCATTGTGTCCATCTACTTTCTTTTTCATTTATGGATTTGTTTTGATTTTCTCAATTAATGGAGTGGATTTGATGTTTGGTTTCAGAACTCCTTCGGTCGGCCGGACGACGTGGTGGCTGCGGAGACGCTGGCGAACCACGTGCGCTGCAACTCGAGCTTCGTCCACGCCGTCTTCCAGGCCCAATTCCGCTCCTCCCTAACGTGCCCCCGCTGCAAGCGACAGTCCAACACCTTCGACCCCTTCCTCTGCGTCTCCGTCCCCGTCCCCCAAAACCAGTTCCGGCCCCTCTACGTCACCGTCGTCTACACCTCCCAGCAGCCCCGACAGGTGAGTCACCGAAACCCCCTCCCCCACCAAATCAAAAAAAAATTCAAAAAAAAAACTTTCAAAAAAATTGCAAAAAATTTCAAAAATTGAAAAAATTGAAAAAATTGCAAAAATTTCAAAAATTGAAAAAATGCAAAAGTTGAAAAAAATTTCAAAAATTGAAAAAATGCAAAAGTTGAAAAAAATTTCAAAAATTGAAAAAAAAATTCAAAACAAACCTTCTTTTAATGACAATACTTCCTCTTAGGGTTGCCACAGTCAGGAAATACCGGGAAATATCGGGGATTATTCTCAAGTCACCTTTATTTTTCCAGAATGGGTTTGACGTTTTGAACAACAAATTGTGCCTGGAAACTATTTAAAGTCATCTGGCATTAAATTCATCAAAAGCATCTGGCATATCCGCAATTTTTAGGGAACTTTACCAAAATGTGAGAGAGAAATCAGGGAAATATCTGGGAATTTAATTTTCTGAATTCTGTGGCAACCCTGTCCTTTAGCCGCAAGAGAATTTCAAATTTTTCCGCCAGCCGCGGCGGCGTGGTATAACCAAGAATAATAAAACTGAAGTATTGCTTGGTTTTTAGTATGTTTTCATCGGTTCAACATAACTTGTAAAATTAGTCCTATAAAATACGCCTTTTAACGCTCTAACTAGCTCCCTTTCTCTTACTACTTCGGGGAAGAAAGTCCCCGATTTTCTTGAAAAAACTCCCCTAAAAGTCCCCGAAAGTCCCCAATTTTGGTTTTTCATAACTGGTAGACACCCTGATAATATCTAATCATTGATTTTAGTTTCAATCAGTTGTTGATCAGGAATTTTTTTTCATTTTCAGGTGAAAATCGGCCTATCTTTGCCTTCTCAAACAGATGTACACGAGCTTAGAACATTGTTGTCTTCAGATACTGCGGTTTCCGAGGAAAACATGCTACTATTGGAAATAAATGATCTCGGGTTTCATAATACGTTTATTGGTAAGTACATCCGCTCCACCCCGCAATATTAATTTACGGAACCCAAAAAGTGGCGTGGCGTGAATCGCGATGTATCGATTGTTCTGCCATTTAAACCTATGGTAAAGAATCGATTATTAAGGTGTTCGCTGCAAATACCCTGTTTATTGATCCTTTTCCATAGGTTTAAATGGCGGACCAATCGATACATCGCCAAGTACGCCACGCCACTGAAACCAAGTGATGATGAATTTTAAAGGAGAGTTTTGTGTATGTAGATACTGGGCTCACAGGAAGTAATATTGATTGTAATGATTAAGTGGTAATAAAAATAGGACATGGTATTTAGGTTGCCGGCCTTTTGGGTTTGTAGAGGTATCTGGGAAAGCTTGATGAATTTTCAGACTATCGCATTTGTCCATACCTTCCTAGCGAAGGTATACAAGCGCCATAGAAATGCCAAGAAGCTGGCCGATCTTCTAGCTGTAGCGACATTTTCGGCTAATGGTCTTTGTTATTAATACTGTACCTTTTGAAAAAATATTTCCCAAGTATTTGACTTTCTGTCTGCTAGAAGCAGAAGTGTATTATCAAGGGACAAACAAAGCTTGTCTACTTGTTTTTTCAAGTGGAAGTCAGAGTAAATAAGCTTGGTCGCAACCTTCTTGAGTCTGATCCTGATCAAATAAATACGCAAGTCCACATCCTCGATTGCCAAGTTTCGTATCCGGCGGCAAAAAATCCTCATTATTCTCTCTTGATTTAATTACCCTGTATAAACTGACACTTTGAGCCCGTGTATAAATGTTGAGGAAGATGATTTTGTTCAACCTTTAAGGCTCTCTCTTTGGTCAAAATCGATTCGTCCGCTAAAATGACGTACCTAATAATAAATAAATATAAATAAAAAAAAAAAAAAAAAAAAAAAAAAAAAAAAAAAAAAAAAAAAAAAAAAAAAAAAAAAAAAAAAAAATATAAACAAATAACATGTAATAACAATATAATACAACCTGCTGATGCACATGTGTCGAATGAGAAATGCTGCTGTATGGCGTCACAAGGCAGCAAATTTTCTCATTTTTAAATGTAATTTTCTCCAAAACTCCCACTTTGGCAAAAAGTGAAATTAATGCTATGAAATTAGCTCATGAAGCATTATTATAAGAAGCACTGAGATTTTCTTTTACGATTTCTCCTTCGTGCTGGCAGTTAGAATGAACTCATCTTTGGAAATAGGTAGTTCATACCTTCATCATTTCTGAAAGTGCATCAGTCCTGACTTGGTCAAAAAAGATTCTTGCATTGAAGGATAGGATTAAAGTACTTTTGCTGCTTGTTGATCTGGGAAATTGGCTCGTGTTGGTCTAAGCAAAAGGAAGGTTTTGCAGAAATACTTGCAGAATAAGCTTTTAGCGCCCAGGTATTCAGGTAGTCATGAAAAAAAATACAGATAACACATACAAAGATAATGACTTGATATTGAAAGGTTTAATGCCATTGACATATTTCTTTTATCTCTTTATTGGGTCATATCTGTTATTTTTCCCCTCTTTCTTTATTATTAAGAGTGCTTTCAAAAGAACTTCACTCATCCAAGTGGTATAAAATTCACACTTGAATCACATTCGTTTCAAGTGTAGGCAATCTCCCAGAGACTATTACATTAAAATCTTCAAGGAGTTTGGCGCCTGTGAAGGAACCATATCTCAATTTTCACCCCTCGAATCATCATAATCTAAAATCTTTACTTTCAAGTGCATAAATTTTTTGCTACTCTGCCGTGCTAAAGAAGAATGCCGTATGAACATTACAGAGTTGCCAAATTTCTCCAGACAAAACCTTTATTTTTCTAGAAACATGTGCATAATTTTCGTTGGAATTTTCAGGTTTATTATGTTAAATTGTGAACAAAATTTTTTTTGTAAATTTTGAAGAATAATAATATTTGCAATTTTCCCAGCAAATTAGTTTTTTGTTGTAGGAAATATCGCAAAGTCTGAAGGCTCATACGGCGTTCTTCCTTAGCACGGCAGAATTTGTTTTTAAGTTTTTAAGTCAGAACTTAGTTCACAATTGCTTGTTGAACATAATATGTAATCAATGAAAATGGATATTGAAACGTAGACAAATTTTATTGGTCTTCCTGTTGACCTTTTCTATGGGTGTTTTGAATTTTTCAGTTCTATGCTCGAAAGAAGTCTCAGACATGAAAGGAAAAGTACTCAATTTCATTGAAAAATTCTGAAATGAATAATGGAACAACTGAGTTAATGACTACCTATCCGTCTTTTTTTTTTTTTTTTTTTTTTTTTTTTTTTTTTTTTTTTTTTTTTTTTTTTTTTTTTTTTTTTTTTTTTCTTTTTTTTTTCTGTACTTATTAATAGGCTGCATAGGACCTTTTTATCCTTAATTTTTATTGAATAATTTTGTCATGAGTTTTATTTGGATGATTATCAAAGATATTTCAAGACTATAATTGATTTGACAACACTCTGCTCTGTAGATCTTTCATTAATTCAGTTTACTCATCACCGAATGGTTCCACGAATAAGATAATCTTTGCAAGGAGGAAGTATTACTTATAAGCTCAAGCTCATATGTTTTTCAAACAAATGAATTAGCTGCAAAGCTGTGACACAACTGGCCGACTGGTTGACAGTTATCTGACCTCTCTGTAGTTAATCCCTCACTCACTCTTTATTTTTTCTTTTTCTCTTTTGTAATTAGAAAACATGCTGTCCAGTATTAAGTTGCCATAGAAACAAGCTGGTCGAAAAAGCGTTTATGAATTGGTTTTGTATTATGAGTATAAAACCTCAGGCTGTATTATTAGTTCCCCTCAGCAATCCGAAAATAATGATATATCACTAAATGTTTTTTTTTCTGCCTCTCCCCCCCCCCCCCCCCCCAACAGAATTTTCCGATTTGCGTCTTACTTCCCAAACTCTACCCGAAATTCACGTCTTGTCTCACCATTATCCACCTATTTTATCAGCTCTTTTTTTTAAATTTTTCTTTTTTCTGGATTTTTCTTTTCAGATTCTATGTCTATCAATGATATCAAAGAGTCTGACAAACTTTACTGTATGGAGTTACCACAGTTGAAAGAAGTGCCCCAAGAAGCAACCTCTTACTTGCTCTTATGTTGGGTCAATGTCCTTGTTGTCGAAGATGAATGTTCGAGGTAATCATTTTTGTTGTCCTATTTTTTTTTTCTAACGTCTCTTTGATGGATTGGATCCAGTAATATTTATTATTACCCAAATTTTGTCAAATTTTCTGTAAGTAAACAGAAAAATATGTTTAAGAAACTTTGATGCTGAAATTACGTCAAGTGACAACTTTATTGAGATGATAGGTAATACGACAGCAGTTTTCTCAACTTGGGAGTGGGAGATTTGTCCGCCTCACACTTGCAATATCCCTTGCTCAACCACAACTTTGGGGATGCACAAGTTGTTTCGTGGTAACTTCACAATCAATGGTAGTCTGAAACTGATCTCTTTCATTTTATTCGCTCAAAATTCTGACCAGCAATCCATCCCATGTCCCGACTCTATTGTCGGTGGTCAAAGAAATAATTCCTACATTATAAAAGTTTTTTTGAAACATGTTTGTGACTTCAGTTCTCTGTAGCATGTCATATGTATATTTGCAAAAAATTTGAGGAGGCAATAACTCCTAAAATACGACCCAAGTGGATGAGATGAGAACTAATGGTATCTCTTGTCCTCGATTATCAATATGGTTGTCGTTTCAGGGTTGTTTCAAAGTACTTAACAATAAAATTTTGTATGCACAAAATAATGTTTTTGTTTTATAGATGCATCACAGAATAATGTACATCTCAAGGAGTTTTCTTATATCTTGAGAAAATTTTTAACTATCTCTGAGTATTTTGAAGTATAATGAAATGATCAAGAAACTTTAAAATGAAATTTTAAGACTCGGCCTTATTTGGATTCAAACTATTCATCCGGTAAAGATGCAAGCTGTCATGAAAATTATGAAACTGCATTACTTTGTATTTGAAAGAGAAAAAACACAGAATCAATAAGAACTCAAGAACACATTTTTCCTAGACCAGTCAGCTTTCTTGATGGAAATTATTGAATTTCCAAGAGCTAATAAGTTCTCACAATAGGATTTGGAATGAGAGTCCAAATTACATTAACTGGAGGGAAGTTTACAACCTGCTCTGATGGGAATGTATTAACAGACCTGATGATTTAATTTTTCACTTCAAAGTTTTTACCTGAGAATTTTTTTATTTTGGGGACTACAAGTGTTCTTTAGCAAAATGGGCGAAGAAATTTTTGCTTTTCAAGCACTAGGAATGAGTTTTAATGTCATGGCAGTATTTATTTGTTGGATATTTTTTCTGTTGAGCAGGTTTGGCAGCCCGTTCACAATGCAGATCTGTCGGGAAACATCTTACACAGACCTGCAGAAACTCTTGTTGAAGGAAATGTCATGGATGCTGCATGATGATGTTCTAACAACAGAACAAGATGTCCCACTTTTTCGTATACGACTAGCCAGTCACCCTGAACCAGATGCATATCTGGATCCAACTCTAGATCATCCTCTCTACTCCGAGTTCATCGACCATGTTTTGAACCTTTGCGAGGCCAATACAGAACCTGCCCACATCAAATTAGTCCTCGAGTGGGATCTTCAATCCAAAGAAAGGTCAGTCTAAAGGTTTAAAGTGTGAAAGGTTGTACCCTGCGGAGTCTGTTGTTGTTTTATTGGGTAGGCAGTGCTATAGATTAAAATGAAGTTTTTAACTCAGTTTAAAATGAATGCATTTATTTAAGGTTATCGCATTTTGTATTTGATTGTGAGTTGAAAACTTCATTTTAGTCCATAACACTGGCTACCTAATAAAATAACAGTTCAAATTAAGTGCTACTACCGTAATGTTTTACATCAACACTTTCAAAGGAAAAAAATTAAACAAAAGTTTATCATTCATACATTTTCTTTGTAGTTATACTTCCTCTAGGCTGTCCACATTCAGTTTAGGGAACGCTTAAAACACAAATCACAGAAGTATTTGAAGAGAAACTTTTAGATTCATTTTTCTGGGTTAGCACAAAAAAAAATATTTAGTCCTAATGAAAGTATTCCCACATAGCTGGAATTAATAGTGGCCATAAGTCCCATCAGCAAAGGAGCCAAACTTTATAAACTAATGATAGCTCTACTACCACCTAAATGCATGATTTTTGTTATATAATGGAATGACAAGAAACCAACCATATTATGAAAGTAAGTGGACAAAGCTAATAGCAGTAGAGATCATTGCCATAAGAAGAGATGATTCGTGTACAACCGAAGACCTCTAAACATTTGAAGCATCAGTCTTAGCAACTAGTTAATGTAATTAAATTTATAAATCATGAACATTCTCGTAAAAATCATAAAATACCGGAAGTTTTCAACTTGCTACTATTGTACGTAAAAAGTAATTTGAGTGTCATTATGATGTCATTGCTCTTGTTGATTTTCCTTGTTTTTTTATAACAGATTCAGTACCCCTGCAATTATATTTCTCAACAAAGATAGTATTGGGAACCATTTAGCAAAAGGTACGAACTGTCATATAGGAAAGAGGCCGTTTGCTTGTTGAAAGCTGTTGGAATAATTTTTAATGTCAGCATTTTAATTTGAATGAATTACAGGTTAATTTTCATTGCATTGAGTCACTTAAAAATTGAATTTCTCCAAAAAAGATTCTTTATTTTGGAAATTCTGTCAGTTCGTTCCTTCCTTTCATGGAAAGGAGTAAACTTGTATCACAGGTGGGAATTTGTGATCAGTCGGCTCTTTTGCGATTACTATCTACATTCTGAGGAGTTAAATTAAAGTCAAGCAAAGAAATGAGGAGCATGTTGATTCACTTCATCTTTTTCTCATAACTTCGCCACTTCCCTTTCCTTGGACGCAGCACAATGTTTAATTTACCTATTTTAAGGTTATCTTATGTATTGTAAAAGCTCAGTTTTTCGTGCATACTGAACGACAATGGCTAACATGTGTTCTGAATATTGATTACAGTACAATTGCTGATGACTCAGATCAAGTTGAAGAGCACAACAGCGTTAGTAAACTGAAGAGCATGCCTGAATCAGGAGGGAGTGTTTCGCTTGAAGAGTGCTTTCAGGTAAAGTTAAAATAACTCCTTTGCACCACATTCGTAAATCTCATCCAAATAGCATTAGAAATGAGTGGCTTGGAGGACAAGGCATATAAGGGCAGTTTTTGAGAAAAATTGAGGTATTTATGGTTTCAAGGAAAACTAGTCGTAATACATATTTTGCAAAAAAATTCGCTTTTTTTTTTTTTTTTTTTTTTTTTTTAAAAAAAATCGAGTTATTAATGATTTCAAGGAAAGCTAGTCTTAATGCATCTCCTGTGAAAAATGCGCTGCAAAATTCCAATTTTTAAGCATCAAAAAGTCAGTTTGAACTTTTTTTCGGCCCTAAGGATCCATGTAAATTTGAACATCCTAGCACGTATTTCTCAAAATAGCAAAAACTGCACTTATGCGCCTTGTCCTCCAAGCCCTTCAAATAGTTTCAATCATTAGATTTTCTGGAAGAGTTTCAAGTTAATATGCACTATACACTTCTAAGTAACTCTTCAACTTCTAGCATGTTTCTCTTGAAATCACAAAAAATATATCACTTATTTTGGTCACCGATTACCTTAAGTATGACTGTAAATAAAAATCATCCCTGTCTATTCTTGGACAGAATTTTTCTTTAATCCTTTTCAGTCCACCTCTTTGCTCAATAAATTAATGTTAAACCCTTTTTACCAGTCTCTTTTTAAAAAAATAGTAATTTTAAAACAAATGAAAATTAATTTATCCTCTTCAAAACCTCTTTACTGAAGTGAACCTAACTTTAAGTTTGTGAGGAAAGTATTTTCTTTGAAGTATTTGTAATTTGTTAATGTATCTACATAAAATTTTGGAATTTACAGATAATATTAAAAATCATCCTGAAGTGAAGAAATAAAAGAAAAATTACCAATAGGATCAGGACAATACTTTTTATACTACTAAAAATCAGGATTTTGCTTATTTTATTTTATTGAAGTATTTCTTCTCAAATTATTTTTCAGCTCTACACGCGAGCTGAAGTTTTAGCTGCTGAAGACGCATGGCACTGTCCTCACTGTGATTTGAAACAGGAAGTTGTCAAAGAACTTGGGTTATGGTCCCTACCAGATATTCTGGTTGTGCATCTGAAACGGTTTAAGCAAACTGCTGGAGGAAAGCCACCTGTAACCACACGGTACGAAAATGAATTCAAATCTTTGAAACTATAGTACTCTCTCTCTCTCCCTGTAGCGACATGAAGTATAAAAAAAATTTGTCTATGACAGAGGAATCGTCGGATTCCTTGAACTATATATGTTCGTTGAGCGACCCAAAACAAACAAAAAATCATTCTTTTCATTGCAGATTTGTTATGGACAGAGAGTACTGTATCATTATTTATGTCTATGTGAACAAAATACTCTTAGAGGTGTCGTCAGATAAGTTGACATTTGTTTACTTTCGGTTACCAGGTGTTTTCACTTCACTACTATCCACATGAAAAAATCCGATTCTTGCAGAAGCGAGAACTCAAGCTTGCATAAGTTTTTTAATACCTTCAAACCCTGTAACACTTCAATTTTTGACCACACAGAAATCACGAGTTGCATATCATAACTGATAAGTATTTTTTTCTAATGATACAATCATGAGACGAATGGTTTTAAGATGGACAGTACCGAACGCTGCTTTGTGCAGAGGCGTAAATTTGTTGTCTCCGCGTGCAAATCAAAATTAAACAAATGTCAACTTAGGATTTGAAGGAGCGCATATTGCATCTATGAAACTTGATTCGGAGAGAGTAAGGTACGCCAAGTAGATGCATAAATTACATTTTTTATTTACCCAAATGTATTTCAGCCCATAGGGCCATCTTCAGTGGTATACATAAGGATCACAGACTACAAGCAAGGACAAGTACATGCATAATCAAAATGTAATTTATGCATCTACTTGGCGCACCTTACTCTCTCCGAATCAAATGTCACCTTATCTGACAACACCTCTATCTCCAATCATCATCCCAATAAAGCTCTTGCACTCAACAGAATAAACCTACATAATAATAACTTAAACTTAGATAATTATAATCTCTCAGAAGGATAATACTGAGTTGAAAAAGAGAGGAGGCTGCCGTCTTCAGCGCAAACTAAACATTCAGAAGTTTAAAAGTGGGTTCGCCCCTAGGCACCTACGCAACCCTGCCTCTAATGGGTACATAACATTCTAATAGAGTCCTTTAGCAATGAACTAACCTCAGTCATAATTCAATAAAGTTGACGTTAGTCGGTCCATCTAGGTATTTTTAACTGCCAACGGCCAAATCATTTTTTTGAAATCTTGTGGAAAAATTAAAATTAGAGGACTCTTAAGAGATTACAGTTACTGCAATAAATGTAGATGAAATGTAAATTAAGATAACAAGATGACGGAAGCAGAGCATGCAAGGCTACCAAAATAAAAAAGATGCTTAACTTTTTGTCAAGGAGCTGAAGGGTGGCAAGTACAGCAGATTAATTAGCACCCTGCAAACTATCTTATATGGTTCTTTGCACCCGGCTCCTCTATACTTTACCAACTTGTGACCCGGTCATTAATAGTGTGTCAATCTCATTGAAAGGCCTTGCTCAGTGCTATGCATTGATCATGGTCAGTCTAAAAGCTATCGCTCAAAGTTTGACAATCCGCTTCCTGGAAGTGTTAAAATGGTTTCTGGTAGTTACAGGATATGGAAAAATTTGGGAGCTGCCGCTAAATCCTAGCATAACTTCAGATCAATATTTTAGGCTGTACTACGGCTTAAAAAAATCATGAAAAATTCTGAAGGCACTTCTGAAATTCTGATAACCATTTTTAAAAAATTAAACTAAAAAAATTGTGTGCTAAATCTTCAGACCTTTTTTCCCCTCTCTACCTAAGGAAGTAATTTAACTATAACCTCTTAATTATCGGAAAGAACCTACATTAATTAGAAGAAATGTATTAATGTGTCAAAGTTCTCTTTTGGTGAAAATTTCAACCGCCAGAGAGATTTTCTTACAATAAGAATAATGCAAAAGAAGTGCTAGAATGAAATTAATTTGATTAATTGCCTCAAACTGAAATGAGTACGAAGAATACAGCTTTTACAGTTTTTGATAGTAAAATGTATGAATTTTCTAGGCATTAATTGAAGTTGGTGTTTTCTTTCAGGCCTCCTATCAAATTAACCACACTGGTAGACTTTCCTTTGTACGGATTTGACATGACCCCGCACCTTGCTGGTGGACATTGCACATCACCAACTCCTGCTCTGTGGTCGTCATGGAAAAGGCCAAAGCACTCTTACCGTCATGATGACAATGTTTACGACTTGTATGCCGTTTGTAACCATCACGGTGACGATTTGCAAGGTGGTCATTATACTGGTGAGTGAATGTTTGCTTCGCAGGTTACATGTGGTTACTATGTGGAGAATAATCTGTCAAAATTTCAAACCATGATGTTGTGGTCTCCGTTTAAGAAATAAAATAGGAGCAGAGAGATTGAAACATAGCAATCAAAGTACGCATTTTTGCAATCTTACCATTGATATGTTATATCATTCACTTTCGTAAAATGAAGGTAATAGAAGTAGCTTGATTTTAAAATTGTTTCCACTTGTTCTTGCAGAATGTAACCACTAAATCTGACAGAGAAGGTTAATCAGAGGAGACTATGAATGCCTGTCTTATAAAAACGATTAAATTTTGCGAATCTTAGAGTACTGTCTACTAGTAACTTGTTCATTAATTTCAATTAGGCACTTTTAAAATATGTATTTGAAAGAGTTTGGTCTTTAATTGATTTTGTATCTTTCAGCATATTGCCGAAACCCTTACGATGCTCAATGGTACTGCTTTGATGATGCCAGAGTAACTCAAGTTCAGGAGACTGATTTGCTGACACCGAGCGCTTACATTCTTTTCTACCAACGACGCGGCCTAATAACGTCCTCATCTAGTTCAAGCACTGGTTCTTCCGGCGGAGAACATTGGGCTGCAAGACTACCATCTGTTGTTATGGAACAAAGTAAATCAACAGAAGACTTAAGAGGTACTTAAAAAATCTTTTAAGACCTTTTCAGGCTGTTTGCAGAATTTTGTCAATTCTGCTTTCTTCTCTTTAATGGCATCCATAGTTCGTGATATCTTAAAAAGTCTTTGAATAACCTTGGTTCAATGAATATTACTTAATGTGCCTCCAAGTACATTTTCAGTTCATTTTTAGCTGCTAAGGTTAGCAGGAATTATTAATATATCAGGTAATATTGATAGTTTTGGTCAAGAAAAATCTGGAAAAGACAGGGAATTTTTTCTCTGTAAGTCTGTCGGCACTCTGTAAAATAAGTACCATCTTTCAATGTCTTGTTAATAATTCATATCTTAAACTGCTTTTTCATTGTTACATTCCAGAAGGAAAGAAGGATTTTCCTCGAAATGACAGAGCATATGCAACCCTCCAACCTCAATCAAAGAGAACTTCTATCGATGTGGAATCCTCTAACAATCACTCTAACTCTACAAAATCCATCCCATCTGCTGTAACAGATGTAAGTATGACTTTTTTCTTATTTTAAAAACATAATCAGTAATTAGGATCAATTTTGATTTTTCTGCAACTACAAACTTGGCTCCTGGAAATTTTTAGATAGCAAATTTAAAAAAACGAGGTGCAAAAATTTTCAGAACACTAACTGTTGCAAAACGCCTGATTTCAAAGCAAAATGTATGCTTTGCCCAAGTTTTTAAAAGTTGAGCAAAAAGATGAGTCAACATTTTTTAAAATTGCATCATGTTCAAAGATTTGCCTAGATCGTTTGCAGCAGTTTTTTTTTTTTTATTTATTTGCACAAAATATATTATGTACAAAATAGTTTTTAGATGTAAGTACATCTGTAAGAAACTTAAATTTAACTTATAAGGTAGACTTATACTATGTTACAAAAAATTTGTTTTAACTAAGTAACAAAAACAAAAAGCATATTAAAACAAATAGGTAATATGCGATAAACACCCTCTTTATAGTGAGGAGAAAAATAAAAACAATTTTGCTTCAAAGTAAAAAAGTCTTTTTGATTTATCTTGGAAAGCGGAAGAGCGAGATCGGTCAAAGACCCAAGAACCCCTGATTGCGTTCGAAAAGCGCAAGGAGGCTCATTAGTTTAAAAGATGGAGAATTTTGAGAACCCCTGGATTCCAAGCTCATGGGGTTTACGACGTTTTAATCTTCGGATGCATCGGTCCTTTTCCAGAAGTGCGAGTGCTTCAGGATTGGGATGCCAATGCAATCTATTCTCATAAGAGTTATACATTTTTGTTATGTAGTCCTCTACAGAATCAATGTTGAGATCGGCGCGAATATCCACGTTTCTCTCGTACCATCTGGCTTTTGAAATGCTTCGTAAAATTTTCATTTGGATGGTTTCTATCTTTTGAATGTTTGATTTGGATGCGCAGCCCCACAACTGGCATCCATAGCTCCAAACCGGTCTCAACATTGACTTGTAGAGGAGCAATTTTTGGTTTCTAAGGGTAGCTTGGATTTGCGGCCTATCAGCCACTGCATATCGTGAAATTTAAGTCTTAGTTGTTCGACTTTTTTCTTTATGTGTGCACCCCATTTGAGCCTGGAATCCAGATGGAGGCCTAGATAACGGGCAACTGTGTCGCGAGGAATTTCAGAGTTTCCAAGATGAAGAGGAATATGAGTAAAAGGTCTGTTGGTGAAAACAATTTCTACCGACTTTGACGCATTTAGTTTGGTTTTATCTTTGTTGGTCCATTTATTTATTCTATTTAAGTGGGATTGAGCATTAAAACGAGCCTCCCTGTAACTTTTCGACGCTGCTAGCACGAGCGTATCATCGGCATAAACTCCCAGTTTCCCTCCTCTCCCAGACTGCGGGATGTCTGTGGTGAAAAGGGAATAGAGAAGGGGGGAAAGACAGGAACCCTGTGGAACTCCTGCCCCTATGGGTCTGAAGCTTGAGGTGGTATTTTCATACCGAACCCTGAATTGTCTGCCTGAAAGAAAGGAAGACAGGAGCTCCACATGATTACATGGGAGCATTTTATAAAGTTTCTCGATGAGACGTTCGTGCCAGACACGATCGAAGTTTGCAGCAGTGTGCAGATTGTAATATTGGGCACTTTTGCACCCCTTTCAAATAGTAGCTGGTGCGTTAGGATGATGCTTCATTTTCTTTTTCTTAGTTTTAGAAAATTAAAGGATTTATCCGGAAAACATTCGCACCTGACATTGAGCAAATTCTTGGATTTAGCTGTGCCGCAATTCACTTTTTTTCTCTGATTTTCTTTGGTGCACTTTGCTTTATATGAAAAAAAAAAAAAAAAAAAAACCCCTTAAATTTGCTGTGTAATAAAAACCGGGGAGAAAAATAGATGAACATAAGTGGTCTGCTACCTAGCCACCTATTATTCAACTGATTTAAGAGTCCTATGGGAGATAGGTACCTCCTCTGGGGTTGATTTTGAATTCTTGTTCTTGTTTGTATGTATCAAAATACATCTTTCAATCTAAAAATCGTATTTTTTGTTTTTGCTTTTCTGCAGGTAAAACAGAATTGGTGACCTGGTGAGATGCATGACATCCTGACTAGATTGATTTTGACTCTATCAAATCGACAGGAATTAGGCTGTTTGGCAATGATTGCCAGGTTTTTAGCCTAGACATGAGCGTTCTCAATCAGTGTTCTCTGTGATATTTTCGATATCACTCATTGTGATAATTTTTTTTCTGAACCTCACATGTTAGGTGTAACAATGTAAATAAGTTTTCCATATTCAAGAAGTTTATATTTTTTTATTTACCCTTATGAGTCACATTATTATTTAACCATGCAATATATCTTAAATTTGCACTTTTGTCTCTTGAAAAAGCATAGCTTTTACTACCATTACCATCAGCGCACGAAAAGTTATCTTGACTATTCTAAAAAAATTGCGCCATAATGCCACTCTAAGTACATTGTGTCAGCTTGTTGCTGTGGTCACTCTTCTTAAAAAAATTTAGCTCCCAAAATTTGTATAATACCCTTCAAAAGTAAATATTTCATTACATTTTATCGTATTGCGGTTTTTAATAAAACTCAATCTTAGTTTGAATTGTCCCAACTTTTGAAAAAGCAACAGTTTTTTTTGTAGCTTTACCAAGGAACTGGAAAAATACGCCTCAGTGTTTTTCTCTCATTACTTGTTTAATGTTGATTTTACTTCTATTTCAACATCATTTGTCAAGTTCCTCTAAAAGTACATGTGTTTCCATAATTTTTTCCCCTCTATCTATAATCCAATCAAATCAAAATTATAATCAAGATTATTTTTCTTGTTTACTTCCCTTCAATTCAAAATCTCAAAAAAGTCACAATTTTTGGTACTAAATGGAGAATTTATACAAAACAAATAAGTATGCATTATTTATCTGTTTATCTATTCTCTCTCATGTTTCCTGCTCAATTAGTTTCTAAAAAATTATCCCCTTTTAACGTCAACTATATCTTTTATTGTGGCATCTTCAACTTTGGAAGGTCGGCAATAATTTATTTTATTATAGTCCTTCCTCTCCATTGTATCCCAATGATATCGTAACCCTTAGCTGAAAAATTCTCAACTCAACATTCCTTCCTTACCTATTAAGAAACTTATCCTTTTGCCAAATCACATAAGACTTATAGACTTCTTTTCTCCAAAATATCCATCTATTTAACTATGCAATTATGCATGACTCCTTTCATTTAACTAAAAACATTTTTTACCTTTTATGAATGATAGTTTTTAATTTTTATATTGCTCTGATTAGAAAATTTTTTACCCAAAACTTCCTTTTTTCATTTTTTTTTGTGTATTTTTATTAAAAATTAATAACTAGCCACTTGCCTCTGTATCATTACTTCTGTTTTCTTCTATTCATCACACCTTTCTCATATCTTGGGTCTTGTAAAAAGTGTTAGAGAATCGCTGACATTTCTTGAATCGGCCTATCAGTAGTTTTATGAAGCCCTATTCTATCACCCTCTGATGGTAGCAGATTTTTTTTTCAAAAGAATTCTGCATCTGTTAATAGCAAAGTACAATTCTTTCTTTTCAATGTCTCTGAGATGTCCAAGGCTGTTATGCTGAGATGTCTACTTCAGAAACTGAGCATGTACCCATTTTATCTTCTCGTTTTGTTTGATAGTGTAATTTTCCCCTTCAAAGTTATCATTTGACTGTAATTGCCTCCTTATGGCAGAAAAAGTATCTCTTTGGGGTCATAGTCATGGATATTAAAATCAGTGCAAAGTCATTAAGTTCTGTTACTTTTGGTAGTTACATCTTTTTTCTTATTTTCAAAATAAGTACAGAAATGAGAACTCTAACATGGTGTTCGTGTTCACTTGAAACTAGTGAGAAAATATTTTTTTTAGGCCAAAAGTTTTAATAATTTATGGGAGCATTGTAAACATTTGCCTCTTCTGTATCATTGTTTTCTATAATTTTGATTTTTATGCAAAGACAACTTAGTTCAACAAGTTCTGCCACACTGTGAATTCCATCATATTTGCGTGTGTTTACTTTTCTTTACAAGTAGTGATATTGTTAAATCACTTAAATCTCTACAATGCAGGTTTCTTCGAAAGTTCATAAATTTATGACCTGTGGGTAGAGTGAATTCATTTTGTTTAAAACTGGATAAGAGTACTTAGCCAGGTTTATGTGTCGTCCAGTTGCCGAACGGAGCATTTATTCAACAGTGTTCAAATTTTGGTCAAGTAATGATTCTGTTATGTTTAATAGTGTGTTTCAATTTCATCTTGAGAGCATATTTCATATCTTGAATGAGGTTGGACTCTTTATGTATGTCTCTTTCTTTGTTTAATAACCTGTCACAATTGTAAATTTCTCTTTCACATATTTTTTTCATCCTGCTTTTCTTTTTTATCTGTTTCTTGAACAAAAGAACCCTGTTAAAAAATGACTCAATAGGAATTTTGTTTTATTTCTCTGTTATAATAAAGCTTATTTATTTTTAAATTTTTCTTTTTCTTTTCCTTATCAAACCAGTGGAAGAGGGCATCATTCACCGTACAAGAGGGGATCATCATTCAAAAGAATCATGGTTCTGGAGAGATATTGAGTCTGCTTCACAGTTTGTGGCTAAAATAATTTCATATATGGATTGCATTTAGCAAAAGGGAACCAGCGCGATTACAGTGTTTTCAAAATTGTGTAACTTCTTCTTTTCTTTTAAAAATACTTAATGCAAGCACGGTATTAAAATTTACACAGTTAAATTCATTTAAAATTAACAAGTTTATGGTGGGAAGCAAAATCTATTTGCTATTCTGGGTCATTTTTCAGATAAATATGGAGAAGCAGCATTTTAACAACACTGTAATCACGCTGGTTTCTTTTTGCTAAATGGGATCCATATGACTCTGACCCTACTAACTCTTGCTTCTTTTCATGTGGATTGCACTTTGCAAAAAGGAATCAAAGAGTATCAATGTCGCAAAGATTGTGCATGTTTTTTTACCCTGCAAATATAAAGTAATCACAGAAACAAGTTTTATCTTTACTCCCAATGACTGTAAATTCAAGACGAAAATCACCTTTGTAAATATATTTTTTGCATGACTTTAGTTAATTTATTGCAGAGAATGTAAGTTGCACAATCCCAGCAACGTTCGAATGCTCTTGGTTCCTTTTTCCAAAATGCAGTCCATGTAATACAGCGTTGGCAGCCCCAAAAATTTAAATTACCATGTTATTATTAATTCTTCAAAGGTACATGCAAATGATTTGGCTCCTGATTGTTTTCCAAAGAAATTAATACTTGAATTGCCTAAGAGTAGGTACCATTATTAGCTTGCTTGATTTTGCCGGTGAATGGACTGTTATAACTCCTTACCCACCCAGCAAGTGACCGAGAATGAATTCACTACGTTGCAGCCGAAAGTAATGTTACCTACAGCAACGTTTTTGTAACATTATTTTCGGCCGGGAAAACCGAAGTATTCATGCTGAGTTGTGCATCATGAAACTCACTGAAAGACTTAATTCCATTGAACGCATTCTGCGTCCCATTTGGAAACTTTCGATTCCTTGAAGGCAGAGATGCAGGAGAAAATTTCTGGAATTAAATTTTCATGAAACTATATTTCATTAAAGTTTAAGGGGCTGATAATACACCCTGCACAAAATAACTTAGAGGCTCAGCTCAAGATAATTTTCCCTCTCAACTTAAGTTCGTATCATTCATTGGCATTGCCTGATCTCTTGAGTCCCTAAAAATTCTCAAAAATTTTTTACATTTGTTCTCTAGGGTTGGTAGATTACACACTTAGTAGAATTAGGTTCTCGTGCTTCCTTTTAGAATAGGTGTTTACCTACATGCTAATACAGCTGCTTCTGTCTCTGAATGCTATTCTTCTATATCTTCTATATCGTTAAATGCAGGTACAAAAAAATCGGATTTAGAAAAAAAGTACAAACAAGAAAAGGTGACAAAATCTCTCATTTCCTGAGAGTTCATTAATTTTTAATTTTGTCGTATTTCGGTGATACAAAAGACTGTGCACCTTTAATTAGTTGAGTTAAGAGAGAAACCAAACACGTAATTTGGCCTGGAGCGGCGCGGCGCAAAGAGAAATAATGACGAGGACTTGAGATGAAAAGGAGAAGCCCTCGACGCGGCAGTCGGCATGTAACACATATTAGCGCCTACGAGACTGCACGAATACTTCACGCATTGCGTCAATCACAGTACGGTCAACAGCGGTCCGCGCGGTGTGAAACGCACAGTGCCTACAAGACTAAATAAATACTTCACGCATTGCGCCAAACACAGTGTGGTCAGCGCGGCACGGCGGCGGAAGTTTAAATTATTAAACCACAGTAATATTTGTTCTTCCTTAATTTTTTAGTTCATTTCTTACAAATGATAGGCCTTGTTTTTTAATTTGTACAAGAGTTATAATATGTACAGAATGTTTTTAGATGTAAGATACATCTTTAAAAAAACTTGGGTTTAACTTATAAGATAAACTTATACTAGGTCCGTTGTAGGGTTGTAACCTCCTTCACGTTATGGTATCTTTATTCGACTCGTACCGAATATAACCTTCATTGCGCAGAAGGCGTGTCTACGGACGAATAATTCATGCAACAAGGAGCTCACTGCTTTGTCATCGACATGAGGGGCACGGCATGGTTAGACCAAAGAAAATTATGCATGACCAATCGGTAATCAGCTGAGATTTTGCGGTCAATTCGCTGCTATTCTGGCGGAAGAGCGTATCTCGACTTTCGCATGAGCCCTAGATAGTATGGATTTTTATTTAAAATAGGGCTCACGGGAAAATTGAGATACGCGCTTACCCCAGATGAGCGACGAATTGTGGTCTTCAAGGTTGCGCTTTGATTCTTCGATCGGACACTCCGGCAGCCACTGAAGATCAGCAGTGACCACTGGTCTTTAACTTGGTCTAGGCGTATAGGGTGATCCAAAAATCCTGCGCCACCCCTATAAACATTAGGACCCTTTTTAAGGAAAATCTTATACCTAAAATTTCCTGGGGATCCTGAACATCGCTTTTTTAACCTAAGAACAATCACAAAATGTCTAGTCTCCTTCTCAATTTGTTTAAAAGTTACAGAGGTGGTGCCCCAATTAGCTTTCTTAAACGGAAAAATTGCGATATTTTGACATTAAGTTGCAATTTTTTTTTTTTTTTTTTTTTTTTTTTTTTTTTTTTTTTTTTTTTACTACTTTTTGGCGATAAAATTGCTAGGATCATCAACATCTGAGCGACTACTCTCAATATTGTCGCAATTTTATGTCCATAAAATAGTGTATGATAAATTCGAGGTTTTATCTCAATTCATCACGATTTTGTATTCGATAATACTGCGATGGATCGCCTTGATATAATCACGACTTTATTGCAAATTTATGCGATGGAATTGCAATTTAACGCAATTTTTAATCCGATAATATTGAAATAAATCAGTGTCAATATATCGTGATACATTCTGCGATCAAATCGCACCTTATCGCGATCACGTGGGACTTTTGAATCAACCTGTAGACTGTAGGAAACTCAGCAGTCACAGGGGTTGGCGGTTGAACTGCGAAGCAACCAGGGCGCGCACGTCCTTATATTTTTGGTAAGTTTTATTGTGCTGCGTAATGTTTTGTCGCCCTTTTTGCCGAAGTACAATCATTATTTTATGGGCGGTGGAACTGCAAAAATGTGTATATCGGTCGCAGTGTTGCAAAATCTCCACTTATACTTTAAGAGGGCTTGATATTTTTTTTTAAAAAAAAAACATTCATCACGCAAAGAATAAAAATGTCCAGTTTTCAAGAAATGACGTTCGGGAGTTTTCCACGTAGAAAATGAAGTATGACGGGAAGTCTACAACACCGGAAACCGAGATACACTTTTCTACAGTTTCACCATTTTCATGTGCTCGAAGCTGAAAATTATTACTAGTTGTATAAACACATCATGAAGGCTATTTCCATTTAAATCTTCCGTCACATTCATACGGCGCAATGATACAACTATTTGAACTCTCCGGAATGCGTGAGGTATCACGCCGCATTAGAAGGCGTTTTCAAAACAGCTTAGTTCCGATACCCGGATTATCGTTTTGCAAAGTTCATATTATTTTGTTTCCAATTCTCACCACTTGTTTAATTTTAATCCTCCTATAAAAACCACCCATTTTCTAAATACAATTCTAGCTGAAGCGTACTTAAGCACATTCATGACTGCAAAATCGTTAACGGAAATCGGAAAGGCCAGCGTGCATGAGGGCTATTTCAATTGCAATCTTCCGTCGCATTTCTAAGGCGCAATGATACAACTATTTGAGCTCTCCGGAATGCGTGAGGTATCACGCTACATTTGAAGGCGTTTTCAAATCAGCCAAGTTCCGAAACCCGGAATATCGTTTTGCATAGTTCATTGTTCATATTCTTTTGTTATATTCTGTACCACTCGTTTATTTTTAATCCTCGTAGAAAATCCACCCGTTTGTAAATACAATTCTAGCTATGCATTCGCCACTGCAAAAATTTCAGAGGATATCGACAAGCCCAGCGTGCATGAAGGCAGGCCCGCCACAAGGGGGGGGGGNGGGGGGGGGGGGGGTACCGGGGCCGGGCCCCGGAGGGGGCCTGTGTTACCCGTGAAAAACCACTACGAATTCACATGCAACCCTTGTTTCGTAAGAGAAAGTGAAAAATTTACCCTAAAAATTTCGCAAAAGGTGAATAGATTTTCAGAAACACGCTGAGGCACTGTAGAATTCTTCTTAAATTTTCAAAGAAGTATACTTCTTGGAAAATTTCTATCTATTTTCAAGATTTTCAGTACAGAGGGATATTTTTAGTAACTGCGTTTCATTTTCTTCTGTCGTCAGATGCTAAGAGTCTCCAATTTGGGCATCCTCGACTTCAATGGCTCATGGCTCAACTCCCTTGCCATAGACAAACGAAGGGGGAGTCCAGGGGGGCCTGGCCCTCTTAGAACTGAAAATAGAATCATATGCCCCCCCCCAAAAAGAAAAAAAATAAATAAATAAAAAATTTCCAGATGTTTTGAATGCAACAATTAGCAAGTATTTTGTGCTGAAGGTAGAAAAAAAAAAAAAAAAAAAAAANAAAAAAAAAAAAAAAAAAAAAAAAAAAAAAAAAAAAAAAAAAAAAAAAAGCATCATTACTCCGAAGAAATTGATGGAAAAATTCTTTATAGAAGCTTCAAAATGCGTCCGATTAGTCGTATAAATTCTAAAATTTCTCGGGGGATGCCCTTCGGACCCCCCCTTCCCCTCCGTGCTTGGGGTCCGGACCTTAAAACTGGTACCAGGGCCCGAGATGGGATGTGGCGGGCCTGAACACATCCTCCATTGTCGCGCGATTCAACCATTCACGAGGTGACTTTCAAAAAGTGACACTTTTTTCAGTCAAGCCTGAATGAGTTTAGCGTGAACTGAGAACGAAAAGTATAGTTGTTTCTTTTCAACTTTTCGGGGAAGGGAGGCCTAGCGCTCTCAAAGAGCCGCTTTCAGTGTCGTATTTCAAAAATTTAAAGAAAGCGAGGATATTTAGGGGTTTTACCTGCTGATCGACTCAATGATCGTGGAAATGGGCCCCGCAGATCTGTATAGAACAAAGAATACAGATTTGAAGAGTTAAAGGAACTTGACATGGCATCTAAGATGAGAGAGCGAGATGAGAGGAGGCCCAGGATTTCTGCGTGCGAAAAATGCAAATTGCACGTTCCTGCAAGCCTTGTTGCGGAAAGCAGTCTACGGATTGTGCGAGAAAGCGAGTAACTTCACTCTCACGTCGAAATTACGAACGCATAAATGCATGTACACGACGAGGCTTATATCTGAGATTAAACACACGTCTTTTTGCCGGAATGATACCGAAACACAGTTTATTCCCCTTTCCTTACGTTTTGTATTTCAATAGCAAGTTTCTAGTTACGTTACGCCTCGGTCTAGTGCACGAAGTGAACATGGAACCCTGCTTTCATCCAAGTATACTGCCGTGCTAAGGAAGAACGCCGTATGAGCATTCTAGAGTTGCCAAATTTTCTTCGATGAAATGTTTATTTTTTAGGAAAATCATGAATACTTCTCCTTTATATTTGCAGAATCTTTAGGTTAAGTTGCGAACAAAACTATCTGAAAAATTGGGAGGAAAGTATTCATGAGTTTACCAGGAAAGTTGTGTTTTATCAAAGGAAATTTGGCAACGCCTGAAGGCTCATGCGGAATTTTTTCCTTAGTACGGGAGTATAAATGCCGATTCGAGTTTAAAAGTAGTAATCGATCCCAATAGCCATACATTTTCCGGTGTGTCACTCAAGAGGGAAGAATTTTAATCTTCGTTTGAGTGAAATTTCAAATGTGAAATTATCGGAAAATCGTTGGTGATCTCAAGGCACCAATTTTAAAACTAAATGGAAACTCAAAGAGATTATCACAGTCAGTCAAGAACTGAATCTGCTAATGAGTCGTATGGATATTTAAAACTTAATCCTCTTTTTCTGAAAAAGAATGCAGAGTAGGTTCGTTCATTTTCTCATATAGAACTCAAACCATAGCGCCTGGATAACCCCAGTTGCTCACTCCGTTAAATAAAGGCGTACTTTATCTGCATCTTGATTCATTAGTAAGAAAAACCTTTTGAATTTCTTGTGTCAATTAAGTTGAGGTACAAGAATCAATCATCAAAGCTTCAGTTAGGGTCGCATACGACGGATACCGAACGAATTTCATCATAACGCCTGGATGCAACTATTCGGACTCTATGGATGTCCGTGTTGCATACGCACGAAAGAGAAGGCGTTTTGACTTCAGACACTAACCGCCTCACCAGCGGCGGGGCTCGGTGGAGCGAGTCAATCAGGCCCGCCACATCCCATCTCGGGTCCTGGTAACAGTTTTAAGGTCCGGGCCACAAGCACGGAGGGGGGGGGGCCGAAGGGCATCCCCCGAGAAATTTTAGAATTTATACGACTAATCGGACGCATTTTGAAGCTTCCATGAAGAATTTNTTCCTACTTTCAGCACAAAATACTTGCTAAATGTTGCATTCAAAACATCTGGAATTTTTTTTTTTTTTGGAGGGGGGCATATGATACTATTTTCAGTTCTAAGAGGGCCAGGCCCCCCTGGACTCTCCCTTCGTTTGTCTATGGCAAGGGAGTTGAGCCATGAGCCATTGAAGTCGAGGATGCCCAGACTGGAGACTCTCAGCATCTGACGACGGAAGAAAATGAAACGCAGTTACTAAAAATATCCCTCTGTACTGAAAATCTTGAAAATAGAAAGAAATTTTCCAAGAAGTATACTGCTTTGAAAATTTAAGAAGAATTCTACAGTGCCTCACGCATTCCGGGGAGCTCAAATAGTTGTATCATTGCGCCGTAAGAATGTGACGGAAGATTTAAATGGAAATAGCCTTCATGCACGCTGTGCTTGGCGATTTCCTTTGACATTTTTGCAGTGGTGAATGCATCGCTGAAGCGTGCTCCAGCTAGAATTGTATATAGCAAATGGGTAATTTTTATAGGAGGATTATAATTAAACAAGTGGTTAAAAATGCAAACAAAATAATATGAACTTTGCAAAACGATTATTCGGATATCGGAACTTGGCTGTTTTGAAAACGCCTTCAAATGCGGCGTGATACCTCACGCATTCCGGAGAGTTCAAATAGTTGTATCATTGCGCCTTAGAAATGCGACGGAAGATTACAATTGAAATAGCCTTCATGCACGCTGGCCTTTTCGATTTCCGTTACAATTTTGCAGTCATGAATGCGCTTAAGTGCGCTTCAGCTAGAATTGTACTTAGCAAATAGGTGGTTTTTATAGGAGGATTAAAATTAAACAAGTGGTGAGAATTGGAAACAAAATAATATGAACTTTGCAAAACGATAATCCGGGTATCGGAACTAAGCTGTTTTGAAAACGCCTTCTAATGCGGCGTGATACCTCACGCATTCCGGAGAGTTCAAATAGTTGTATCATTGCGCCGTATGAATGTGACGGAAGATTTAAATGGAAATAGCCTTCATGCAGGCCTCATGTAGGAACGAAACTTTTCAATTTTTTTTTTTTTTTTTTTGAAAAATCGGGGAATTTCAAAGAATCGAATCTGATCAAATTTGGCAAATCCTCAGACGCAGACCTCTAGAAAAAAATCATGAGAATATTAGCCTGATAGATATCCAAATCTCACTGGTACAAGTAGTGGCTTCTTCTTTTAAATACTCCAGATGGAGGCACAGATATCGACAACTTGGCAATCGCTGGATGAACGAAGTGTTGGTTGCTCTATGCAGATTAAACTGCACTTGAGGTTCTTTGATAAATGAGCCTTTTGCTCTTACTCCTTTTCGACTCATTTCCGGGGGGCGGGGGGAGGGGGCGGTACTTCTTTTTGCCCTGTTTCTCTCCGTTGCTTCAAGCACTGCTACTTTACGGTCAGCACTATTGCCACGAACTTGGAAATAAAAAAAAATAGTTCGTGTTTGCCCATTTATATGTGGCGTACGGAATCAAAATGCAGATATTTTAGCAACCAGTTCTTTTAGTAAGAATGAGATTAATTTGCTGCATAATTTTTTCTCCTCCAAGCCTTTTGGGAGAGGTTAAGGCCTCTCGAAAATTTGTAAAATCTATTTTTATTCTTTTAAATCTTGCCAATCAAAGGACTTTGAATTTGATTTATGGGGTTGCTCTCATGCAGCTTATCAATTACTAGTCTCGAAAGCTCTTGCCTCCAGTAGCGGGATCAACATTTTACTCCTAGCGAATAAGCATGGGGGAAGGGTGGAATAAGTTTTGAGACGTTTAATTCCTGGAGTCTCCTTCAACTCACTTCAATAAGAAAAAAACATAGAAATCCTTCAACTTGCTTTAATAAAAAAAAAAAAAAAAAAAAAAAAAAAAAAAAAAACATAGAAGTACCAACCCAATTTTTCATTTGTGTGATTCACAATTTCTAATACTGTCATGTCATTTTTCAGACTCCATTTTCATTTTTTCAAATTTTTTTTTTTCAATTTAATTTGTACCTGATCGAAAATTTCCTAAATATTCTAATATATAACGTGCACCCGTCATGGATAAAAACATTAGGGCTCAGGTACAATTTCGCAACGTTGCCACGCGCGATTTAGCCCCTCTGACACTGACCCCTCGCACGTATTTTATGAATTGATATGCGGCAACGCGACGAAAAAGCTTGCGGTCCACAGGGGAGCCGAGGAGAATAGACCAGCATCACGCTGCGGCTGGTTGCGTAATCCCGAGGCCCGCCGCAGGTCACGTGACCCACGTTCAGGTATTCCGGACCCGGNGGGGGGGGGGGGGGGGGGGGTACGGAGGCGCCTCCTTCCCGCGGTCCGCAGAGGAGCCGGGGCCCGCAACTCGGAGCTGTTTTCAGATGGTTTTCAGTACGGTTCGAATCCTCTCCGGGTCTAGAAATGCCATCGTCCGAACGATGCACCTCCGTTGCAAGTCCGTTTCCGTTACGGACAGTCGGCGTTACCGGCTGCGTGAACAGTGAGTGCTTTCAAAGTGCCATACAATTGCCGAGCAGTCAGTGATTATTTTACGTGTACAGAAGCACAGTAATCAGCAGCTACATTAAATCAAGTGTAGTGGAAATCTGTGGATTGTGAGGCCTAAAAGTTGATCGTGTGCGGTGATTTACGACTGATCGTAGTGGCATTTTCTTGTGTACACGCTAGAGGAACAAAGCTCCACTTGAAGTGACGTTACTTAGTTAATTTTATATCATTTGTGAAGCTTTTTTAAAAAAAAGCAAACTTAACATCAAAATCATTAGGTCGGAGTTTGGTACATTTACTGCGAGCCAGTATTTGTAAACAACGCAGGGCGCAGATCCTTGAGGAGGCAACTATTGCTGCACGGAGGATGCTTTCTGGCCTATCTGGAAAATTGAAGGCGAAATAGCACTGTTCTCAACCATCATACTATCGTCGAGTCTGTTTCGTTGCTTTTAAATTTTTTCACAAATCGCGATTTTTAAAATCCCATTGCTGTCGCCGATCACTTAGTGACTCCTAACTTTTTTTTACGCCGGCACGCGCACTAAACTAGTTTTCCCGGTAGTTTGTACCGAGTTTCCGTGTCGCACTTTCACGTAAGTTTACCAAATCGGTTGTGAAAAGAAAAAGATTTTAGGTACTGATTGTAGTGTCAAGTGTGAAGTTACGCGGGATTTCAGTGTAATTTTCAGTGGGACCTCTTACAGTTAACACTTAAGCGCAGGAAAAACTTGTAAGTAGTTTATTGTATGGATTTTTCACTCTCAATTATGATCGTGAAATCTAATTTTCGGAACCTTTATAAATGTACGAGGAGCACATTCCCTATCTGCTACCCATTCCAAGACCTAGAGGGCGCTTTGCGCCCCATAAAACCCACTTTATACGGGCCGCGGCGAGTTAAACTAAACAGAACGGGCTCATATATATAGGGGCATGTATTTCATGTCGATATATAGCCACCAAAATTATAGAAAGCGGCCCCCTGTAGAATGGTAGAACTAACTGCAACAGAAAAATGAAAAGAAAGATTAAAGAGCTCCAATGCTATTGGTGATAAAGGAATTGGTAGTAAGAAAATTGAGGGTTAGGGAACCCGTGGTGGACTGTAAAATAAAGCCCCACCCACCTCCTGGTTAGCTGTCGTACTGTATTCCTGGATATTGAGACCTACAGTCAATGGCATATCGAAACTGTTCGTATGAGGCGCGAATAGTACCAATGGATCATTTTCTTTGCTCTTCGCAAAGAATTACTGTTAAAGATGAACACACCCACGCAAAAAAAAAGGAAAAATAAAGAAAGAAAAAAGAGCCTCTCTCTTTAGGACCAGTTTTCAAAATTAATTAAATTTCGCCGCAGCGCTCACTGGGGAAAAAAAAAACACATTGGATCTAGAGTCCAGACTCTTAAAAACATCGAAAAGAAAAAACACTCTTGACTCAATCGGATTTTTGCTTAAATCAAGAACCAAGCATCTTAATTTGAGCGGATATCCTTCTGATTTAAGCAAAAATCTGATTGAATCAAGAGTATTTTTTCTTGTCGATGTTTTCAAGAGTCTGGACTCTAGATCCAATGTGTGTGTGTGTTTTTTTTTTTTTTTTTTTTTTTTTTTTTTTTTTTTTTTTTTTTTTTTTTTTTTTTTTTTTT